ACACACACACACACACACACACACACACACACACACAGTCAAGTCATTTTCTGAAGCACTTTCAAACGTACGTTGCTCCTCCAAACAAAAGGCATAAACAATAATTTGAATAAATGTTGGTAATTTCCTGCAGCAGAATGTCTAATCAGAGCTGCATTCTGCTGGAGGACCACAGCACAGGGCGAGTGAGAGAGTGTGTGTGTGAGAGAGAGAGAGAGAGAGGCAGAAAAATAAGAGGAATAGAGCAAAAACTGTATCCCCAACTACCCATCATGCCTTGCCAAGCGTGCCGGCCAACCAACCAAACACTTGCTTGCATCTGCGCCTGCTGAGAGCCTCTCATTCCTCCCAAACATTTACAAAATACCCCGAACAACCATTCATGACTCGTTCCCTCCGCTGCTGTGTCTGTCCCTCATCTCATCTCTCTCTCTCCACCTCTGGAGAGTCGAAGGAAAACTCTGATGTTGCGTATTTCTCTGAACCGACGCTGAACGTCTCTGTTAGGTTTTCACCCCTGACCTCTGACCTGAACCAGGACCAGGTCATGACTCACCCTAACCTACCCACAATTCAGCTCTGACTGAAACACGCTCTGTATTCCAGAATTTGAACAAAAGGCTTTAAAACATGAGATGATGTGTCTCCACTCAGTTTAGATCGAGTTTTACAGTTTCAACCTGGAGAAAGAGGAAACAGGTCCAAAGGTGAAGCAGCGACTTCTCAGAAAGAGAAATGTGACACAGTTGACTGACGGTTGATTCCTTCCTCGTGTTGTGAGTTTCGCAGCAGGACGTCTTGCTGCTGCCGGGGGGGGGGGGGGGGGGGGGGGGGCCCAGCTGGGTTATTGTGAAAACAGCTGGTGGATGTTTGGGCTCTGACGGTCATGATGGCCGCCAGCCCAGCAGCTCCGCCCCTAAACACCAGCAGCTGCTCATCACCGTCTCCAGTTTGTTTGAAACCATTTTTTATACTTATTACCAAAACTTATCAGAAACGTCGGCCCTTATCTCCTCGTCTATCTCCTACGTCTACGAAGTTTTACTAGAGGCTGCAGGAAAAGTTCCCGAGACACTGACTCAGACGTTTGTTCTCACATACAGAACCTCCACAACACGTGAGGCACACGTCAGGAACACGTGAGGCACTCGTCAGGAACACGTCAGGAACACGTCAGGAACACGTGAGGCACACGTCAGGAACACGTCAGGAACATGTCTGGACTTCAGTTCATGTCTGAAAGCAGATATACACAGCGCCGTACATTTTTTACACAAACAAAATCGAGATCTTTGAAATGAAAATAAACCAAACATCTGTAGTATGATGCTGAACTCCAATCGTCCTCTGAGGAATTTCAGATCCAACAGTTCAGGTCTGGAAGCAGCACTGCTGTCCTCTGTCAGAAACGTTTTTTGAGAATTCACCTGCAAACAATCGTCTTTTTTCTGCAGCTTCAGCCACGGTGGAGGATTTCCAGATTCGTCCACACTGTCTGTTTGTCCACTCGTACCGAGCTCCGGCCTTCTGCGACCACTGTGGAGAGATGCTGTGGGGACTCGTCCGACAGGGACTCAAATGTGAAGGTAAACGTGGACTAGCAGACTGATGCAGTTTTGTGTTGAAGAGACTAAAATGCAAAAACTGTTGCGTCCTGTCTTCTTGTCTCTTTCTGTCCAGGCTGTGGTCTGAACTATCACAAGCGCTGTGCCTTTAAGATCCCAAATAACTGCAGCGGGGTGAGACGGCGTCGACCATCCAACATCTCCCTGACAGGGGGGCTGGTCAACATGGGCCGCCCCCTCTCTGCGGAGCCCTCACCACCTCACTACACCGACGAAGCTTTACTGGTCAGTAAAGCTCCGCCTCACAGGACACCTCCTACATATGTCTAACTTTTCACTCAGCCCCGCCCCCCCTTAGTTTCTGTTGCTGTGCCTGAGAAAAGTTCGTCTACAACTGATTTACCAACGAGGTTCAGACTGAACGACTGATTTCTGCCGTCAGAGCGATTTCCACGTATAAAATGATTTTTCACTTCACTTTCTGTAACTGGAAAAGGCTGCGAAGGCTAACTTGGCTTGTAGTCGTAAAACTGAAAGTACGAATACACAGACAAAGATGTTTTCAAATAAAAGTAAATGTACCACACCGAGTAAGTAAATGTACTTGTGTACCATGTTACATCCCACCACTACACGTACTTTAAGAACTGACCTGAAGTCGCGTCGTACGACTGCGGGCGATAAGTTTCCACCTCACACGTATCCACACACTGACCAGAGTCACGTCAGTGAAGTGCACAGGTCTGGTTGCTAACTTCCCAAACAGGAAGTGATTGGACACTTCCTCGGACACTTCCTCACATCTCATTGGCTGTGAGGTAAAAGGTCGGTCATTACATCACTGCCTCATTCGGCTCTGTGAGAATCAAACAAATAGTTTGTGGCACTTTGAGGTTCTTACGTTCTTTTGGTTGTTAGAACGCTTGAAGCCTCTTTAACTTTTTTTTCTGTCTTTCTCCCGTTCTCGCTCGTTGTCCAGTCTCCTGTCAGTCCGAGCATGGAGGTAAGCAGCTTCACTTTCTCCATTATGTTACCCGAACACGAGCTGCGGACCGTGAATCTTCACTGTTTAGTTTTGATATGAAGCATTAATGATTTGTCTTTTCAGTCCTGAGAGTCCAGAACAGATTCAAACTCAGAGTAAAGGGATAAAGAGAAAGATGCGTTCTCTGTGTTCATGTCGGTAGTTTGAGGTTTTGGAAAAAGATCTGATCAGATTCATTTGACCTATTTTAAGTTGATGCTTCACAGGAAACTAAGCATCACCCTGTTCTAACATTAGTCATAATGTTAGTCACCTGTGAATGAATGTTATGATGATGATGATGGTGATGATGATGGTCTCACTCCTCCACTGTTCTTCCTTCATCGCAGCACAAGAACCAGTTGGAGTACTTCCCCGGCAGAGAGCGTCGTTCCAGCTCCCAGTCGTACATCGGCCGCCCCATCGAACTGGACAAGATCTTGCTGTCAAAGGTCAAAGTTCCTCACACCTTCCTCATCCACTCGTACACCCGACCCACCGTCTGCCAGCACTGCAAGAAGCTGCTGAAAGGCCTCTTCAGACAGGGACTGCAGTGTAAAGGTGAGCGTCTCCTGTCCTGTCAGCGTTAGCCTCTAAAGCCTCAACTGCTCTACAACATCCTCATTTACAGTCTGCGAGCCACACAACGGAAAACGTTTGCAGTTTGTCAGAGTTCAATCAGATTTAACTTCCTGTGAACGTAGAAGAAACCAGAGACGGAGCGAGGGACCTGTAAACGCCGAGCTGTTTCCCGCTCACTGAACCAATGTCTCTTCTCCTTTTCCCTCAGATTGTAAATTTAACTGTCACAAACGATGCGCTCCCAAAGTGCCGAACAACTGTCTGGGAGAAGTCTCTAAAAACGGAGGCAAGTTTCAACACACTCATTTAAACTCTACAAACAAGGATCCTCGTGGACTGCGACCAATCGAACAACGACTGTTAATCCAACGCTATCGTCAAACTGACGTCCTCACTTTACTGGTCAACACACGGATTCTTGTCTTTGCCCCCTAGAGCTCCTCAGCCCGGGGGCGGAGTCAGATGTCATTATGGCGGAGGGTTGCCTGGACGACCACGACCTCGACAGAGGCGGTGGCCTGTTAGACGACATGGATGAAGCACTGACATCAGAGGGGGGTCTGTTGCTGGAGACGGGGCCAAGCGACCTCTGCGACCTGCAGGACCCCGACCTGGACGAGTCCAACCGGGCCATCAGGTACAAAGACATGAAGCGCACACACACGCACACACACACACRCACACACACACACACACATAGATCTGAGGTTGTGCTTTGTCCCGCCCCCTACAGCCCGTCCACCAGTAACAACATCCCTCTGATGCGAGTTGTTCAGTCCGTCAAACACACAAAGAGGAAGAGTAGCAACGTGATGAAGGAGGGTTGGATGGTCCACTGCACCAGCAAAGACACTCTGGTAACAGCCTGTCAATCACCTGTCAGTCACCTGTCAATCACCTGTCAGTCACCTGTCAATCACCTGTCAGTCACCTGTCAATCACCTGTCAGTCACCTGTCAGTCACCTGTCAGTCTGACCTGCACAACTCGTTCACACCTTGTTTGTTTCAAACTCTCCAGTTTAGTCTGATTCCATAAATCAGGTGTGACGTGCGGTTCGTCCTCAGAGAACCTTTACATCTTAAAGATGGTTTCTTCATCATCAAACTAAAGAAAGTACTCGTCTTCCTTTTGTGCCACAGTGAAGAAAATTCCTTCCATCATTCAGTTTCACTCCTCTTTCCTCATCTCTTCTTCTCTCCGTCTCTTTTTGTTTCATCCTCTCTCTCTTTCCATCCTACCATACTTTTGTTTCCTCCTTTCACGTTCATCTCTTCATCTGTGTTTCAGAGGAAAAGACACTACTGGCGGTTGGACAGTAAATGCATCACGTTGTTTCAGAACGACACCGGAGGGAAATACTACAAGGTAAGAAGACGTCCTACTCTACACACTGGATTCACTTTTCACATGTTTGAACCATGACTGAATTCACTGGGTGGCCCCGACAACAGTGTTGCCCCGCCTCCTCCATGTTAGCAGAGAGGACAAAGTAGATAAATGTTTGTCAAAGATGTTTCTGTCGTTGTAGCTCGTTGTTTTCACACTGACGTTTGTTTCTGGTCAGTTTGAATCAGTTAATTGACAGACTGGCTCCTGATTGGTAGAGTGAATGCATCAGCACGACCTTGTTACCACGGCTCCATCTCCTGATTTTCTCCAAATCATCTTCATCTCCTCCTCCTCCTCCTCCTCCTCCTCTGTCTGCAGGAGATCCCTCTGTCAGAGATCTTGTCTCTGGAACCGGCCCAGACCGTCTCTCTGCTCCCCGATGGCGCTAACCCTCACTGCTTCGAGATCGCCACGGCGTCGCTGGTTTACTTCGTCGGAGAGAACCTGCAGAGGGCGGAGTCGTCCGTGAGCGGCAGCAGCGTTCTGGTGAGACGGAGCTGATGTCATGTGACATGTGACGCTGTGTTTATTCACCTGTCTGTGTTCATGATCCTGTTGTGTCAACATCGCTGATGGACGTCCTCCATATACGACCCCGCTGTTATCATGTTCCACTCTTAGGCCACATGATAACAACTGATCTGTCACCATGACAACACAGAGGACTTCCTCTCATGGTTAACCCAGTGAGATGTGCGTATATATACGTGTCCATGTTTATGTATAAATTGACATTTAACTTGACAAACAGTCTTCCTCTCCCAGCTCGTTGCTGTAGTAACTGTTTGTTGCTGGACGCTTCAGGTCAGTGGGGTGGGGCAGGATGTGGCTCGGATGTGGGAGATGGCCATACAGCACGCTCTGATGCCGGCCGTTTCCACAGGAGTTTCTCACGGTTCTCACCACAGCGGACACAGTGAGTCACTATTGCAGCTGACGCACTGTTTCAAACTCAGCACGTATGATATTTCTATCTTTCTTTGAATTACTTATATTGCACAAACATGTTGAACCATAGAACAGAAGAGTTTGTGTTTGTGAATCTAATCTTGGGTTGAAGCCGTTCATTACGGTGAGAATGAATATTCAGAATGGAGTTCCACAGGGCTCTTTCCTGGATCTACTACTTTTCTGTCTATACTTTCTCTTTTCTGTCTGGACTCCACCTCCTGATGTGACGTGGGGTCCCGACAGAAACAAGCCGTTGAGATTCCTCAGCTCTTGCTCCAGACCTTCGGTTTCACATATCACAAAATCTGTGTTTATGTCTGTGACAGAGGTTAGAAAATCTCATTTTCAGTCTCTAAACCAACTCATGTTGTGCAGCCAGACTTTGTTCAAACTTGCAGAACTTAATTTTAGAGGTTAAAGATCAACATGAATATTTGCTGTCAAACATTTTGCAATAACAACCAAGAGTTTTCCAGCTTTTAATGTAAATGAGAAACACAGTAGAGGTGTTCTGTCCTCTGTTCTTTAACACGGACCTGGACACACTTCACTGTCTGTGTGTGATAGAGAATCTGTTTGGAACGAAACTGGACAAATGTAAATTATATCATCGTCCTGCCTGTGAAAGTCCTCCTGCAACGTTTCCAGCTCAGGTATTAATACGTCCATCCTGCTCTCAGACTCTCAGGGCCGTCGACGCCTACACTAAACCTTCACTGACGTCAAAGTGAACATGACTAACACTTCACTGTGCTCGCAGTATAAATACACAGAGTAAATATAGTGGAGTAAATGCAGAGGTGAAGTTTAACAGATGGAAAAAAAAACAAAAAAAAAGGTGAAGTTGAATTTATTTGTCAGACGTGTGTTGATTTTTAACTCTGATCGCGTTTGTGTCTCATCAACAGAGGAAATTTCCATCAGCATTTCAGTGTCTAACTGTCAGATCCAGGAGAACGTGGTGAGAACACACGAACACACACACACACACACACACACACACACACACACACACACACACACACACACACACACACACACACACACACACACACACACACACAC